GTGGAGGGCCGGGTAGGAGGAGCCCTCCGGGGACACACGGCTGAAGACGGCGAAGTGGGCCCCGAAGTAGGTGAGAGCCGCCATGGTGGCCGCCAGGAGGCCCAGCAGCTGGGGGCGCAGAACCAGAGTGGGGCTCCCTCCAGCCTCCTGGTCTCACACGAGACAGGCTCAGCTCCAGGCGCCCTGGGTGGTCTCAGGGAGGCCTTTGCCCAGGTACCCCCGACACACACCAATTCCCCGGTACAGGCACCCCAACACACACCCACACAGACACCCCCCGTTGTCTAGGGGGAGGGGCCTTCTGTTATCTAGGGGGCGGGGCCTGCCTGGTGTCTAGCGGGCGGGGCCTGGCGGTCTCACACCCCTCCATTCACTGTCAGGCTGCTGTGGGGAGAGGCTCCCTGGGCTTACGACACACACAGATTCCCCGGTACAGGCACCCCAACACACCCACACAGACACCCCCCCCACACACACAGATTCCCCGGCACAGGCACCCCAACACACACCCACACAGACACCCCCCCACACACACAGATTCCCCGGCACAGGCACCCCAACACACCCACACAGACACCCTGACACACACACACACAATCACACAGACACCCCCCCCACACACACACACAGACTGACACACACATACACACACTCACATGCCAACACACACACACTCACACCCCCCCCCCCAAGACACAACCAGGGGCCTTGGCTCACTCTGCACAGTGGGGAGTGGGTCCCCCAGTCCCAGCCCCGGTCCTCCCTGTGAGAGCAACCCCCAGGCATCACCCCCATCCACCCTAGTGCACCCGCCACCCAGGCCTCCTCCAGGCATTTGGTTGTCCGGTGGGGGCGCAGACACCACCCACAGGGGCAGCCACCCCAATGTGGGGGAGCCGCTGTGCTGGAGGCCTAGTCACACGGCCGCCACCCTCTCCCCTGAGGCCCCCCCTTCCCCCCAACCTGCCTGTTACCAGGACAAAGAGGCAGGTGACCAGCATCTGGCATTTGGCCACCCTGACTCGACTCCGAGGGCCCATGGTGGTCGCCTCTCCTCTCCTCCCCTCTCCTCCCTCCTCTCCCCCCTCTCCCTTCCCCTGGGGTTTCAGCTGGGCGGGACTCAGCCACAGCTGCCCTCCCAGGAGGTAGACTGAGCCCGCCCACCTGTCAACACACCCGGAGGACTGAGCGGGTGCCCGGAAGGGCGGGCAGGAAGGGGAGGGGCGGCGAGGCCAGCGCTGCCACCCGGCTGCCCCAGCCTGGCCCAGCAGGACACGGCCTGGTTCCAGGTGTGGCCACGAGGACACCTTGGGAGGAGGTGGGTGAGTAGGAGAGGGCGCCTGGGTAGGGGGTGAGCTCCCCGTCTGGGGAGTGTGCGAGTCCTGCCCCAGCCCCAGTCTTGGGGGGCGGGGGGTATGCTGGGAGCAGGCCTCGCTGGGACCTCACTCTGGAAGTGCTGTCTTCTGCGACACATTTGTCACAACGACATTTCGGAAAAGGGAACCTGATTTTCGACGCCGCAGAGGTATCATGAGTAACTTGGAGCAGAGCCGTCCTGAGGGCACGAGGGGGGCTTACTCGCACCCACGTGGGCCTCCGATGGGACCCGAGGGAGGGGCCCTGCTGAGTGGGCCGCTGGGGGCCAACATGGGCGGAGGGGACACGCGGTGAAACCACCGTCTGGGT